TCACTTCATCAACACGGGAAAGCATGCCGCCAGCGTTTGCCCGCTACAATTATCACCTATTCTCAAGCACTAAATTTAAGTGAAAAAATGAACAAATTAAACAACACAAGACTAAGAATTATGTTACCTTTAGCCGATTACTGACTAGGAATGCAGATATTATTGTAATTTTTGCTGCTATTACACGCGCGAAACGAGCATGGGGCAACATGGCTTTAGTAAGCTTATCATTCCGTGAATCTGAAACCGAAACTGATCGCGAGCATGCCGTGCGGTGTTATTTTAGTCGATTACCTTCAGATCATGTTGCCCCTCGAAGCCCTTGATTAAGAGAGGTGTCTAGCCTGCCAAATTAAATACACAGAGCACCTGTATACTAATAATACTTGCAGACTCTCTTTGTATTCATCTAGTAAACAGCGGGAGTCACTTGCCTAATCCTTGTCAGAGGATGGTAGGGCATATATACGATTTGGGTCGGCAGGGTAGTTAAAGTAGAGAGTCGCGGAAGTGTTGTGTTGCAGTTCCTTGTGCCGTGTTGTACTGTTGATCTGTATGTGCCTGTAAGAGTGCTCGGTGTCGTGGTTGTTGTGTTGTTGGCCACGAGTTGGTGTGCGTGCAGTACGTAGTTCAGCAGTAGAAGTCGGTAAATTAGCTTTTTTTTTTTTTTTTAGTGCCATCTAGCGGTTGCTACCACACTTCCCAGGTGGCGCAAGCTGCCGCCTGATTCAATAAGCTAAGTTTTGTGCAGTCCTGTAGCTACTGATTACAAACAGCTGGCATGCGGTCCATTGGGCTGCACACCAGCGTCCGGCCTACGTGCCTCTCAGCTTGATAACACTCGTAATAATAGTGCCACTCAGCCACCTAAATGATTGTTCTGTGTCGAAGAGCTGCGAAGTGCAGGCAGCAATGGATAACCACGTCGGTTGAGGTAGGCACAAACAAGAATAGATAGGGAAAAATAAGAAAGATAGCGGGGCTTTGGTGCGAGTTGAACGCCTCCCGTCGGTGTCAACGAAGGTGCCCAGCGACTCATCGCCGCATACGACAAGCATGCGTTGTCTCCAATAAAGTCAGCACGCCCATTCGTCGCGTTACGATTTCTTTTTTGAGCGTTCAACGCCGGCGGTAAAAATACAGTCAATTTAGCGAGATGCCGTCGGGTGCAATCGCGGCGATTCCGGCAAACACGCTGCCGTCCTTCCGGCTAATAGGTACGTACCGGTGTCGAGGGACGGATGTTTAGAGTATCTGATGGCGCTTGGAAGGCGCCAAAAAGGGGTATGCGCCCTATTCTCTCACTCGGCCAAAAAGCCGTGCTGTTCGCTAGTTCTTACCGGGAAATCCGAGCCTCGCTAACCGGCCACCATGTTGCTTTTGGGGGTAGTCAAATTTGACTACCTGCTTTTTGACTACATGTGGAGTCGTCATTTTTACCCTAAGGGTCATTATATTTGGAACAACTTTTTACCACCCCAAAGGTAGTCAGTCGCCTGTGACTACCTTTTTTCTTAGAGTGCAGGACTCTGCTTTGTAGTTGAATCTGAATAGTGTATATAATGTAGACTTGACGACATAGGTTATTTTGCAGGTAACGATAGCGTGTTTTGTGGTTTCTTATTGCTGATTATAGAGAGCCTTGTACTGCTATAACTCAACATAAAATGATTCATAAACGGCCGTAGAAAATTTTTTGTAAAAGATTGCGGACTTTCCAGGTGATTTAGCTCGATGACGTGGTTACATGAAAATGCACTTTATTTACAGAGCTCCTGTTTTTCAGTTCCACTCGCAGTGGTCGACAAATACAGGATGACAGAACCAGTGGCAGACTCTACAAGCCACCCAGACCGTTTCCGCGTTCTTGGCTCTCTGCTGCAGGGGCAGATCCAAAAGGGTAGGTGCCTCCCTTCCAAACAAAGTCAACCCACCACTCTCCCCCCTCTCAGAGGGTAATTCGACATGAGTGGACCTCCCGGTGCACAAGGAAGAATAGGAGAATAGGATCCTTACAAATTACCCCCCCCCCCCCCCCAAGAAAAAAAAAAAACAAAAAAAAACGGAGTTCTGGATTCGCCCTTGCTCAGCTGTTTTATTTGCACGCAGAAAGCACCAGGAATGCTTCGCTACTAGAAACCTACAGAATGTCACGTGTTGGTCGTGACTTTGCTCTGGCAAGTTTCACCAATCAGGCCTGGGACAGAAGATGGCTGCAGAGTTGGGCACGAAATGGGTTTCCTTGCGGCACACTAGGTGTTCAGCCCCGTTCAGACACTTTCGGTGATCACGCGTGATATTTTAAGACTTGCGTTTCACTACCTTATTTTAAGCTCGAGACACATGCGCGAAAATCCATCCGATCCGACGTCCGATCCGGCAATACGACTGCCTGATCCGAAAAGTTTGGTTGCTTCAGACGTCGGATCGGCGATCCGGCGTGCGTCCGACGTGCCAGATAGTTTCGCACGGCGGACGGACGGCGGACGGAAGCGTCCAGCCAATGACAGCACAGCTAGCGGGAACGTCATGATGACGTACTGGGTTTGGCAGGACGAGCCGAAAAACCGGACTGACCTTGGCGACGAGAAGCTGGACGCGTGAATCCCGCTGACCCATTCGAGAAAGATGACCCCCGCAAAGAATGCATGCACTAGCGAAAACGAGCTCCTAATTTCGCTGGTGCGAGCTGAACCGTCAACCTGGGACCAAGGTTCTGTATAGGAACGCGGACCTAGCTGGAGTGCTTGGATCTCTTGGGCGGAGCCGGACGGGTCGTCATGTCGCATGCAAGGTCGGAAGCCTATGCCTCAAACTGTCTCGTGCGGCAATTCGGAGCGGCGTTCGGACTGTCGGATCGGACGTCGGATCGGACAGTTTTGACGCGCATGCGTCTCGTGCTATACAATTCCAAAACCAGTCTAGCCTTTCCGAAATATCTTATATCTATAAGCAATCGTTTGGTCCAATAAACGCATATAATCAAATAAGTTCATATAAAGGGCACACAAGACATTTATAATAGCATTAAAGAACAATGTAAGATTGTATAAGAAGCTATAAGGAACTCATAAAAAGTTTCTTATAACTTCTTATATGAATTTCTTATATTCATCTTTTCTGTTCGTATAAGGATTTTGTGTGATCCTATATGATCTTATTTGATCATATGCTTTCATTCAACCAATAAATTTCTTATACATATCAGTTTTTTCACCACAAAATCCACAATCCAAACCCCAAAATTTAGCTATTACACTACTGAAGTTACTTCTATAGGATGTTCTCACTTATCACAAATTCAAACAGCAAAAAAAAAAAAAAAAAAAAAAAGATATGGACTTGTTAAACCCGTTTGCGATTCCCTTGACTTCGCACACAAGCAAAGCCCAGCTATACTTCGTTTCACGATAACTGGGCGAACTGTGGAGATTCCGGCCCCGGCGACCTAATAAGGGTGTCAGAACAAGGCACGTGACGACCATCCATGTTCGAGGCCACAGAGGACCTCGTTACCACCACAGCAACAGCGCCGTCCGCGGCAAAAAGCACTGCTCGGCTTCTGTTTTTTTTTTTTTTTTTTTTTAACTGCAATTGAATTTGCGTGATTGCATCTTTATTGATATGCTGTACGACACGAAGAAAGGCGAAGACATGTGGCTCTTCAACGATATTTACTTCGGATCAACCATTTTCTGAGTACAATGGGGCTTTTGAACGATGTTTCAACCATCGCAGCCTGTAATAAACCACTTCCGCTCAAGACTATGCACTCGCCACAGATACGTGAACTAATTGCGGTTACTGGATGTCTCATAAACTGCTCCCAAAAAGAGCCCGCTTCTCTAGCGTACGGCCATGTTGCGGCGTTTTAAAAACAAAATGGTTTATTTTTAAGAAATAATAAAAATATCGTTAATAACGCGGGCTCAAAGTATAGAAAAATCTAATTTCTAAAAAAAAGCTAAAAATTTGTTTATGTTATTTCATAAAAATTATTTAAAGTGATACACACTCAAGAGTACATTTGAAGGCCTAACGGTATTTAATATTTAGTAAGCAAAAAGTATAATAAATTCTAAGGTGCAAGGCTCCAAATGTCACCGAAACCTCAAAAACGCGATATTTGCATTTTTTTTTAATTCGGGCATAGAAAAGTGTTAAAGGAGTTTAATATAAACAACAATATATAAGCAATGTGTCGTGAACTTACAATAAAAAGTGCTGCAAATGTTTTTGTTTTTTCTTTTATTTATAACAACCGACAGAAGCTGGTACAAACACCAAGCAGCTAAAACGCAGCATTTAAGCTTGCTACACTTACAAATATTCTTGGAGGCAAATAATTCTTCTACTAACTTTTAAAATGTGGTTATATTTATTGCAGAAATGGGTCTTTAATATGTAATTTATTCATTTCATTTTAAATGAATTATTCAGGGCAAATCAGGATACATATTCCGGCACACGTGTTCAATTTTGAAGTGACACCACCCACATCTATTACGGTTTGATATTTGGGTGGCGAAAAAACGAGCTTCAGTAAATAAACTACCTAGACAGTAAATACCACAATCAATATTTGTCTCAAAATGATACGAGTCACTCCAGTATGAGGACCGACTGCATGTTGGAGATGGACACATATTCTTGTATTTTTTATTATTTCTCTCATTCTCAGAGGTTATACTGGATAATTGGTTATCGTGTTTCTTTAAATAATCATTTTACAGTTTCCTAATCGGTTTGTCGTTTTTTTTTCAATACGCATCACGCAAAAAAAGTTTTATAGAAGGAGTAACCAGGCGGCATGCAGAACCAGCCACAACAAAAACGATACTGCACATTCTCTGGCAATATAGAAAGACAATATCTAAGCAGCTGCCCCGGCTCAACAAGACGAATAATAAAGTAACATATATTTATGCTCATGAAGTCATACAGGCTTTTTACCTTCTTCCGCACAAAACCTAAGAGCCAATAGCAGTTGCTTCAGCAGTCGGCTGGGAACGGCATTGCCTCGTTTTGTGAAATGGAAGAGCAGTACACCTTTAACAATCAAAATGGCAATAGGAGAGGAGTCACAAGTCTCGCATAGGGACGCTATCGTGTAACATTATCAAGGTTAGAGGTAAAGGTGAATAATTCAAAAGAATTGAGGGAAAACATTACTAAAGATTCCGGCGGCATTAAAAACATGAACGCTGGAGAGGCGAGTGAAAGCATACCAAAATGTCAATCAAACGGACTACGAGTATACCATACTCACAGTGAACAAGCTATTTTATAAACCAACTAAACCAATGTTGTCAAAATATCCAGCGACACTTCAGTTATCCGCGTCATTCTGATGTCAAGCACCGCTCCTCGTAGATGTCGTATTTTTCAGACGACCCGCCAAGCATAGTATACAGGAAATCACAACAGGTGGCTTTTGGACCATTCTTCTCGATATAAGCCTTACTAACGAAGACCATCATTGCTTCATCTGGAAAAAAAAAGATTGAACTGAATTCATTGCTCCTTATGTACTCATCTAATAATAAAATATAATGCATTTTGTGCAACATATCAATATATTCTGTTGTAGATTATGAATAGCAATTTAACAGATCGAACGCTAGGGAGGAGGCGAGCAGAATAAAGCAAACAATCGATTATGGAGAGTAGAAGCTTTGTGGGAGCGGCTTCTCATCGGTTTCTTACATTGCAAGAGACTATGATTTAAATTGCAAATTTCATGTTTGTTGCGATCTGTGTAAATCCCTTTTTTGACGATTAGTTCAAGGACAGTTATAACGAATTTGTGTATACTTTGAGGAATTCAGACACGCTGACAGCCTCTTATTTCGGTCAGGCAATAAGATGTCCAAGTGACGAGATTTGTATATCGTTTAAAATCAACTAAAACAAATTACGCCCCACCGTTTTGCTTTATTGTTACTTTATTTGAGACACCAAATGGTTCTTACCATTAATGTAGGGGTTCCTACTGATTGCGCATACGTCAAGCTCGCCGTAAATGACGTGGTACTCCGTTGCCTCACCCCCTGGGGGAATATGTAAACAAACATAGTTAGACCTTCCCATAATCAAAGGCGAAATGCATGCATTTTTATTTCTACCTATAGGAATGGTTGATCTCATCCATAGAAAATGAGTTCAGAAGATGGCATGTCATGCTGTTAATAAATGAGGTGCGACAAACTTAATAAATCTTTATCATAAAAGGAAGGCAGCATGACTTCCACGTAAAAGAAAATCCGCCTTTCGTCTGCGTTTTACAAGGAGGCAGCTAGATCTTGTGCTAATGTGAGATTAACTTCTTAAAAAACGACTTACGGATGTCCTAGAAACGTCACGGGGAAAATAGAGACATTATGAGTATTTTAACTGATGTTTTCATTCTTGATAAGATACTTGTGGGGATAATGACGAGAGTTATAATTTGTGACGATAATCATTGTGATGTAATGTAATTGGAGTGATAGATACATTATCTACATTGGCGTCTATGTTGAATGAATGAAGACCTTGATTTTGTTTGAAATGATCAACAAAATATTGATTAGTCAGTGCTTTACCGTATTGTGTGCGTACCCTTGAATAAAGGCGAACGCTCGTCGCCGTTATGAATTGCCGACTATTGGAAGCGTTCGAGAAGACAGTGGCGCCACGAGGTGGCTCGTAGCAGAAACATTTCCCATAGACATCGCGTGCAGCAGTCGACGTTAGTTTCTAAATAATATCAGCTTGCCTGAGCGGAGCGCTATACGGAGCGTTCGGGACCACAGTTGGCGATAACATGTTTTACACAATATCCGGAAATTGAGAACGTATGCTCTCCATTCGCTGGTAAAAAGAGCTATGATCCTCACAATTCCAGTACATCTACTCGATCCCCGCCAGGATCGAAAAGCAATTTGATAATATCATGATCGAAAATGCTTATGTAGATCTTATCACTTACTGGCACTGGTAAATGTCGTTCCGCATTGCGGGCCGTGAAACACACAAACGCAGATATATTCCAGCACCGATAAACAGAACACGTGACGAGGTGTTGCAGCCGTCACCGCTTACAATTGCAGGGAACTTGATTGAATTCCGAGCTCCGGGAAACTCCCGCGGGTAGAATGACGTGAGAGGATATGTACACGACAGTGTCAGGCAAGGATATGTCCTCGAATGTCAAGGTGTCAAACCCCTACTTCAATCAGATCAAGAAACGCGGCCGCTGAAGGGCACATGAACGGCCAAGAAGCTGCAGGTGCATTTCGATCCGTCTGAGCGGGCCTAGCTTCACTATGCGATGTAACGCGGAAGCTGTCGTTTTCATAGCTGCCAAAGCGGATCGTCGCGCCTTCACATGTCGTACGCTTCAAATAATGAGCGATGGGTACGTCCTGATAACCTCCTGAACGTCCATGTGGCATGCTCAATGGTGCGGAGACGTTTTGACTAATTGGGGATGTCCGGTGTTTGTGCGTTTTCGGTTTTCTTCTTAGCTTCTCAACTGTTTAGACCACTCTAACGTGCCATAGGGGACTTTTTTATTTCAACGAAAAAACAGAAAAAAACAGAGCACATCTTGAATTAGTGCATGTTTGATGCGAGTGCAGTAGACAAGCACATCGAAAAAATATTTTAGCTATTTTCTGCTCACACATTGTACAGTTGTAGCAAAATGTGATCATATTGTGAAGGAGTGTTTGCACCGCGATGCCTTTGGCATTGGAGATTCTGCGTGCTTTACTCAAATATTATAAGGTGAGGTTTCACACTAAAGATATGAAGGTTCAGAATTGGAAAATCAATAGAGAGCTGGGGGTAGCACATTTTTTTCCTCGCGTCCTCCACTCAATTGACTACAAGAAGCGGTACTTTGTGCGTTTGTAGAATGAGCTTCATCCAGGCCATTCCCGTCAAAACATAGCTGTCGGCGAGAGACCATATAGATCGGCACTAATCCGGGCTGGTAGGCGCCAAAGCCGCATCCACCCTTCATGAAGGAAACCCTTCAGCTAATAAATTTGCTATAGTTGTCCGTTTGCCAATCGAAGGAATATGGATACAAAATGTTGAAACTGCTGAAACAGTTCCGGCAGATTTTCGGCGGCAACGCTACTGTGTTATGTCCTTTTTTTCTTTTTTTCTAGAACGGGACATAGTTGAGCTAAAGAACATACAATAATTGTGAGTAGCTTCCAGGATATAAATGTTTGTTTCACGTTCCAATAGAAAAGGTGCGGGCCAAAGCGTAATGTGATTGATTTACGCCAGTGCCGCCGTCCTACTTGATGGTGGCAGCGTGTTTTTGTGAATTAAATAATTTGCGATTTCTAGTAAATATCCTAGAAGGTAGTCATATTTGTTATCAAATTTCCAATTCGCAGTGACGTATAAAAGATTATATAGCGATTTACACTAATACAACGTAATTATTATATGCATTTACCAATGAACGTCATCCCCTGAACTTTCTCTAGGCTTTAAACATTGGATGTTGATACTGTGTTGGAGGGGCCCACTGGCGTATGCGAACGCACCGATTGGCAAGGAAGATGAAGCCGAAGAGAAACTTTAGATTTCTTTTAACGGGCATGGTGCGATATAGTAAGGACCAGAGGAACGAACTCGAAGCTTTAACATGAGGATCGTCAATGACTAATTGACAAATAATTGCTTACCGCCTTCAGGAACAACCTTTATCCGGTTGTTGACGGTGTAACCATCCGAAGGGCTAGTTGTCAGCAGGAGAGTTCTAAAAGCGTAATACAGTGATAAGCTTTTGCTCTGAATCCTTCAATTTAAGAATACGCAACATATTTGCAACTATATTAGTGTGCTATCAAACCCCGTTGCTTGGCGAATTTTAGAGATACAAATCAAGTAAAGGTATAGAGGAGTTTTTATTTATAGTTCTGAATATTTGTGTTTTCGATTGACTTTAGATACTTGGAAACAATAAATTCAGAGTTATAACAGCACATGTTTGTCCAACGGTGTCTACAATCTTTCGCCTCGCTCGTCCTGCTTTCATAACTTCCAGAATTTAAAATTTAATCATTTATTGTTAAGTTACTTCTCGCTTTAGCTCGGAGTAGTAGCACCACGCGGGAGGCTTACATTTACGAGAGGCCCTCATTAAACAATTCGATCCCAGATGCCACTAGTCTGGCGCTACTACACTTACTATTAGAGCCGTGTTACTACTGCGGCTTCGTAACTTGCTTAGTTTTAAGAGAAAGCGAAAAATATTGAAAACGCCAGTGTAATACAGAAAATAATCGTCATGCACATGTCAATGATTGGATGAGATTAAAGCTAATGTGTTTCTTAAATACTAACCAAAAGAAACACAATCAACATATACAAAAATAAATGCCTTCATTAGCAAAAGTCTCAGAGTGACCTCTCATTTGTGATGTTCTGGAGTTAGAACGAAAATAAAAATTACAGAATTTAATATACAGCGAGAGCTGAACTTGTCATGCAAAAAAAAAAAAAATAAATCTAATGCCGTAAATACGCTCCGGAAGGATTTTATTTTGACAATCTAGCTGCAGTTCCACACCATGAAGCATCGGGCACAAGATACATAGAGCTTGACTGCATCGAGCCTACACAATGCTTTGGAGAGGAACAAAATATCAAGCAGGACTGGCAGTAAACATTGCATAAAGCGTCTCGCTGCCTATTTTTTTACACGAGCACTCAGTTAGACCATACATAAAGAAATCCTATGGTCTTGACGGTTCGTTGAAAAAGCGCAGTCATGTTCACGCACATTACAAAACATTTAACACGTAAAAAAGACAGATTTGAAAATATTATTTAAAGAATGCAGAATTTCGATAAATACTAGACGATGTAGTGATTTACAGGTGATTCAAAACCCCCGAGACTGCAGGTAACGATACACACACTCAAACGTCATTTCAACGAGAGAGGTCAATTGAATGACTGAAAAGAAAAAATAATGTATGTATTAATATCAATAAATTATCGATATTCGTCAAGAGTACTGAGATGTAATGTGAATGGCATACACAATTAACTTGAGGCATATGCTTAAGTTGTGCTTACATCGGCTCGTCTAGACCGTCGTAGTTCACGATGATCGGGTAGCCACTCTCAGTTTCTGGGGAATCTTGTTTAGTTCTCAAGCATTTAGCTGCACCAAATACTGGGTCTTCTTCATAGTTTCTGTACGTCACGTACCAGGTATCTGTAAGCGGGAACACCTGGAAGTAAAGTGAATAAAGGTGCTCGTTACAGTAAACATGTGATGTGCATTTGTTCACCCCTTTGAATGGGCCCATTCACAAAGATTCTGGGAGTTTAGGATAAGTATAATTTCACTAAGATTTCAAGTAGTTCTAACTGAATGAAACTAAATTGGTGGATCTATTAGCAACCCTTCTGAAATAAAAAGAAAATACTAAATCATTCCACTTTAGATTGAGTTGAAGTTCATGGCTCATTTTTTTTTTTGAGTCCTAAGAATGCTTCTAGGTTTGACGCACCCGCGGGGTTTTTCCTTTTCTTGTATTCAACATTTCCGCTCCGCCAGCGATATCCCTGCTGTAATATTATAAAAATATTTAGGGGCCTAATTATCCTAAATCTGTTGTGCCGAACTGAAGTTGCAGCCCCAGTAGCTAATACACACCAGTCACTATTATGTGCATAGAGGGTGTGCGGAGGCAAACAAAAACCAATAATGGCGGAACTTCCAGTTGATAATATGTTACTCTTCGTTGGCTTTTGTGTTTGCAGGTGTTTTTGAGGACCCGTAGCAAGTAGCGAGCATTTGAAAAGTCTCGCCGTCGAGTATTAGCTGCGGTACTTCTTAAATCTACTTATACAGGACCGACAAGTGCTCTTGTTCGTCGAAGAAATGGCGAATCTGCCGAAGCTACTGTGGGCGCATCTTCAGAAATATATATTCGAATAGCTTGGTTCATATACTTGAGAACGACTTAAAACCAATACATCCTAAAAGCCTTCAACTAGTTTGTGAACGGTAATGCATCGACGGTGTGGACCTAACCTGCCCCAGGTGCCGAAAATACGCGCGGAGTTTCCTCGCAGGGGCTGATGATGATGATGATGATGATTAGGAGTTTATTGGCGCAGCAGCAACGAGGGCCATAATGCGCCAAACTTAACGTGTTTAGAGCATATTATAACAAAACTTTACTTTGAGGCTACATATTTACAAATGGTATAAATATCCAGTTTGTTTTAAAAAGTCTAAGACACGGCTGAATGGAACTAAAGGTTTATCACCAAGCAAAAAAGAGGGATGAAATGGGAGATGATCCCTAAAAAGTTCGAGAAAACATGATTGACGGAGTGGTTGATGGGACGAACAATGCCACAAAATGTGCAACACGGTCAGAAGCTCTCCACAATGTTCACATAGTGCAACATCCTCACCACGAAGCAGATACTGATGTGTCACACGGGAGTAACCTATTCTTAGACGGCATAGAAGAACCTGCACATGACGTTCCCTGTTGTAAGAGCTCTCCCAAACGCCCAGAACGGGCTTGATAATGTGAAGTTTGTTGTTGCTCTCTGTATCCCATTCTGCTGCCATTTGAGAAAAATAGATTTTCTTCAGAAGTGGTTTCAAGTCTTGGTAAGATAAGCAATTGAATGTTATAGACGAGCCTTGGACAGACACGGCCAATTTATCCGCCTCTTCATTGCCCAAAATCCCAACGTGGCTTGGCACCCCGCAGAACTTAATGTCCCGACCGCGTCGCAGGGCGCTATTGATCTTACCATGTAGATGTTGTGCAAGGCGGTTCTTTGTGGTCATCAGGGAGGACACAGTCAATAAGGCACTTTGTGAGTCGACAAAAATTACAGCTTTCATAATACTATTGTCGAGTATATGTTCGACCGCTAGTAAAATAGCATAAAGCTCTGCAGTGAAAATGCTTGCCCAAGAGTCAACTTGTGTGGCTTTGCTGTAGGAGGCGGAATAGAAAGCAGACCCTACAAAAGACGACGATTTGGACCCATCTGAATAAAGCTCCTCGCAGGGGCGGTTTCCTCATTTCGCGGACGCGGCCACGGGTGTGAGCAAGAGAGATTTTTATGTCACGTCAAGAGCTGCATGGGGACATGGAAGTACCTAGCGTAACTGCTTAATGGCAGAAAAATCCCTGTCGCTTCGAGTACACAAGTCTAACTTCGCTCACTGAAACTGACCGCAGAGGCTTCCAACTGGAGTCCGATAAACCGCCCCTTAGTAGTAAAGAAGCGGCAGATAAAGTTCCGGCGAGAGAAGATAAATATTAGCCAAAATAAAAGAAACATCACGTGAGATAAAAGCGGTCCAAGTGTATTTAAATATCCGCGCCACCGACCCGACTCATGCCGTCTTCTGTTGTTGAGTCGAGGCCAAGTTATGAATCGTTTAATTTTTCTTCGGGATGTCAGTGACCCGTTTCTACGAACAGTCTGCCACGTGAGACTGTGTAGTCCTCAGCCTGAGTTTATTGTTCCTTCACAATGCATACCAGGCGGCACCCTCGGATATCTCAAGGAAGTTGCCGCGTCATGTAAACGTTTTGGCAACCAGGTTGTTTTATGAATATTTCAGCGAAGTGTCCAGCGAAAAGTTCTATAGGTATCGTAGTGACGTAGTCTTTCCCGTACCTTTGTATAGAACCTTGTAATATGCAAGCGCAGGACAGGACATCTTAACGCGTGTAAAGAGAATTCTCATTCCGCCTTGTGTTAAGTCATCCTTTTTTTTAAATTAGGCACTGGCACCTTAATCGCAAAGACATGGATGAAGAAAAAGGGACTGTTCGCCCTCGGGGCGAACCCTGTTTTTTGTGTCAAAAGCCCGGGACGATTGAGCATGTATTACTGGAGTGCTGCGATGGCATCTTTTTCTGGGACGTCCTCCAATGCACACGGAAAAAATATTTCTGTTATACATGCACGGAATTAAATCCTTTAGATTGAAAATATGGACAGCGTGCCATTTGATTTGATTATGTTAATGGACCTGCACAGTATTTGGAGTTCTCGGATGACTATGCCGATATATGCGCGCGAGAGGCGCGGGAATATTTCCCCGAGAGTATTGCCTTCACTGTTGAAGCACGGAAGAGCTGCGTGCCAGAGCGGATTCAACATGTGGAAACTGTTATGAATTTGAAACGATTTTAACTTATACAACTAGTCCAAAGACCGACTGGTTGCTTTTAACACTGCCATTTCTGCAGTTTAACTCTTTTTTTTTTTATCTCCAACATGTATATATTAAATTGCAAAAAAAAAGCCGGCAATAACAAACAAAACCGTTAGCCGTAGTTGAGAGGCAAGGGAGCCGAGACTTGTCGTCCAGGCGCGAAAGTTCCGTGTTCAAGTCACGAGTAAAGTCAAATTTGAGGGTTTTACGTGCCAAACCTACGAAGGGGCATCTGGCACGCCCCAGCGGAGGACTGAGGATTAATTTGGACCACCTGGGGATCTTTTGACGTGCAACCGAAAGCTCGGTTACACGGCGCCTTCTCCGCAATAAGCCTCCGTCATATTGCGAGCACTTCGGTCGGGATTCGAACCCGCCACCTGGGGATCCGTAGGCCGGCGCTCTCGCCTTGGAGCCACCGAGGCGGCCCAAGTCACGAGTAGAGGTGGTCGCATTTTTGCGCGCCCTACAGACGGCGTTTTCTTTAAAGAATTTGTTGAACGTCCGGATACGTACTAATCATATAGTCTTTCCAACATGGGCGGTGTGGTATATCCCCCACGGCGAGTCATTGCCCGCGGGTCTTGCTCTTCCCCGGGGCAGGGGCCCTCCAGGCACACAAATCTACGTGGCCGCTCGGAGCACAGTAGTGCTGCTATCAACGGCTGGCGCGCCATGTTGTAAACTGGGCCGTGTCTGGATCACGAGCAACTTCGTCGAAAACCTCGGGTCAAGTTCCAGTGGTTCGTGGCGGTGGCTGGAGACGCACCGGGCGCATTCGCTGTGTACGCGCCGGCTTGGACACAGAATCGAGGGATTCTACGCGAAACGGCTTCACTGGACGCCCAAATGTGTGTGACGCGCCATTCGATTACTTTGAGGCTCCTGCCCGCGCTCTGCGGTGATGGAACGTTTGCTGGTGAGGCACGTTTAGACGGTTCTCTCCAAAACCGAGAATGAGTATATCTTCCCTAGAATATAACTATATCGGAGGTTCAGACTCTCAATCCCAGGGCCCGATCTTAATGCACCCCTTGATAACAGCAATGACCTATGGTTCGATTGTTGAGAGTGCGTCGCGGTCTGTACCCAATAGAATTCTAACTAGAACCTGATTGGATGGGGCAGCTCTCGGAGCACCGTCATAAACAACGAACGGACGGAAAAGAACGGGCCCATATGGCTAAGGCGTTTTCTCCTGCGGCTCGCCGCTTTACTTCTATCGTGCGCGACAGCCCTTGCTCTGCGGCTCAGCAGTCATCCTCACCGTGCGCGAGAGGAGACTTGACGCCGAGGCGTCCGTTTTCGTAACTGCTTAACTACGTAAGCCCTTCGCGGCAGTTAGTTGCAGCTTGTCATTTCCTTTTGTGTAACTTTCTTTTTTTTTTTGTTGAAATAAAGTATTTTTATCAGTTCTATTGCTTACAACTTCGCCTTTAAGTCCATTGACGTTCCGCCGTCGGCCACAGCAAGAAGAAGCATGAAGTCTTCAACTCCAACCAGCATCCGGACGATATCTTCCACGATCTCCCCTCCCGGTTCATGGCGGTAACTCAAGGTGCTCCATCGAATTCCGGGACCAAAAACAACCTGATCTCTATTTTGAGTCACAATTTCAGAGCGCAGCTCTTATGCGCCCGTTTCCGGCTGGAGCGGCGTCGCCGTCCCCGTCGCCTTCGGCGTAACCAAGCGTTGCATTATGGGACGTTTCCTATGATGACGTCACACGTGACGTCACTTATGATGTCACAAGGTTCACGAGTGACGTCATGAGGGTGAATAGGGTCACGAGTGACCTCACTCATAACCGCGCGTTGAATTATGGGACGCTTCTCATAATGACGTCACACGTGACGCCACGTGGGTGGTCACGAGGGTCACTACGGTCACGCGTGACGTCATGAGGGGGAGGAAGGGAGGGGAGGAGGGATGGAGGAGGGGAAGAGGGAGGAGAAGGAGAGGAGGACGAGAGGCTATGGGAGCAGTAGGGGCATACCCTCTTCTCCGAACCCTCCCTTTCTCCTC